CAGTCGTGGTCGCATTCGCGATGGCAGTCGCAGTGGCAACAGCAGTCGCAGTCACAGCCTCAGCCTCAGCCTGCCTCAGCCTCAGCCTCAGCCTGCCTCAGCCTCAGCCTGCCTCAGCCTCGCCCTCAGCCTGCTTCAGCCTCAACATCAGTCTGCCTTCAGCCTCGGCCTCAGCCTGCCTCAGCCTCACCTCAGCCTGCATCAGCCTCAGCCTGCCTCAGCCTCGCCCTCAGCCTGCAGCCTCAACATCAGTCTGCCTTCAGCCTCGGCCTCAGCCTGCCTCAGCCTCAGCATCAGCCTCAGCCTCAGCCTCAGCCTGCCTCAGCATCAGCCTGCCTCAGCCTCAGCCTCAGCCTGCCTCAGCCTCAGCCTCAGCCTCAGCCTCAGCCTGCCTCAGCCTCAGCCTGCCTCAGCCTCAGCCTCAGCCTGCTTCAGCCTCAGCCTCAGTCTGCCTCAGCCTCGGCCTCAGGCTCAGCCTGCCTCAGCCTCAGCCTGCATCAGCCTCAGCCTCAGCCTCAGCCTGCCTCAGCATCAGCCTGCATCAGCCTCAGCATCAGCCTGCCTCAGCCTCAGCCTCAGCCTGCTTCAGCCTCAGCCTCAGTCTGCCTTCAGCCTTGGCCTCAGCCTCAGCCTGCCTCAGCCTCAGCCTGCATCAGCCTCAGCCTCAGCCTCAGCCTGCCTCAGCATCAGCCTGCCTCAGCCTCAGCCTCAGCCTGCCTCAGCCTCAGCCTCAGCCTGCTTCAGCCTCAGCCTCAGTCTGCCTTCAGCCTCGGCCTCAGCCTCAGCCTGCCTCAGCCTCAGCCTGCATCAGCCTCAGCCTCAGCCTCAGCCTGCCTCAGCATCAGCCTGCCTCAGCCTCAGCCTCAGCCTGCCTCAGCCTCAGCCTCAGCCTGCTTCAGCCTCAGCCTCAGTCTGCCTTCAGCCTCGTCCTCAGCTTCAGTCTGCCTTCAGCCTCAGCCTGCCTCAGCCTCAGCATCAGCCTGCCTCAGCATTCAAAGTGTGGCCCGGGAATGGAGTTCTGGGAACTCGAAGAACACGAAATGGCCTACAGTTGGCTCCGGGCATTCAAAATCATGCCCAGGAATGGAGTTCTGGGAACTCGAAGAGCACGAAGTGGCCTACAGTTGGCTCCGGGCATTCAAAATGTGGCCCGGGAATGGAGTTCTGGGAACTCGAAGACCACGAAGTGGCCTACAGTTGGCTCCGGGCATTCAAAATGTGGCCCGGGAATGGAGTTCTGGGAAGTAGAAGAGCACGAAGTGGCCTACAGTTGGCTCCGGGCATTCAGAATGTGGCCCGGGAATGGAGTTCTGGGAAATCGAAAAGCACGAAGTGTGTGACTGTATGCGAAAAACGATCCCCCCCGGCAAACCCCAACGGCCCCCCAACGGCTCCCCAACGGCTGCCCAGACCCCCCTGTGGAGTAATGTGCTGCTCTCTTTTTACCCTATTAGAAACCTATCAGTCTTCGCTGTTAGGTAAAAATTATCCCGGCAAAGCAACCTAACAGCGATGTGTAGGAGCATATCTGGAAGCATTCCCCTTAAGATTCAGATAAGAATCCTGTTGTAGAATTCTGCTGTTCTCGCAGTCGCGGTCGCATTCGCAATGGCAGTCGCAGTGGCAACAGCAGTCGCAGTCACAGCCTCAGCCTCAGCCTGCCTCAGCCTCAGCCTCAGCCTGCCTCAGCCTCAGCCTGCCTCAGCCTCGCCCTCAGCCTGCTTCAGCCTCAACATCAGTCTGCCTTCAGCCTCGGCCTCAGCCTGCCTCAGCCTCAGCCTCAGCCTCAGCCTCAGCCTCAGCCTGCCTCAGCCTCGCCTCAGCCTGCTTCAGCCTCAGCCTCAGTCTGCCTTCAGCCTCGGCCTCAGCCTCAGCCTCAGCCTCTGCCTCAGCCTGCCTCAGCCTCACCCTGCATCAGCCTCAGCCTCAGCCTCAGCCTGCCTCAGCATCAGCCTGCCTCAGCCTCAGCCTCAGCCTGCCTCTGCCTCAGCCTCAGCCTGCTTCAGCCTCAGCCTCAGTCTGCCTCAGCCTCGGCCTCAGCCTCAGCCTGCCTCAGCCTCAGCCTGCATCAGCCTCAGCCTCAGCCTCAGCCTGCCTCAGCATCAGCCTGCCTCAGCCTCAGCCTCAGCCTGCCTCAGCCTCAGCCTCAGCCTGCTTCAGCCTCAGCCTCAGTCTGCCTTCAGCCTCGGCCTCAGCCTCAGCCTGCCTCAGCCTCAGCCTGCATCAGCCTCAGCCTCAGCCTCAGCCTGCCTCAGCATCAGCCTGCCTCAGCCTCAGCCTCAGCCTCAGCCTCAGCCTCAGCCTGCTTCAGCCTCAGCCTCAGTCTGCCTTCAGCCTCGGCCTCAGCCTCAGCCTGCCTCAGCCTCAGCCTGCATCAGCCTCAGCCTCAGCCTCAGCCTGCCTCAGCATCAGCCTGCCTCAGCCTCAGCCTCAGCCTGCCTCAGCCTCAGCCTCAGCCTGCTTCAGCCTCAGCCTCAGTCTGCCTTCAGCCTCGGCCTCAGCCTCAGCCTGCCTCAGCCTCAGCCTGCCTCAGCCTCAGCATCAGCCTGCCTCAGCATTCAAAATGTGGCCCGGGAATGGAGTTCTGGGAACTCGAAGAACACGAAGTGGCCTACAGTTGGCTCCGGGCATTCAAAATCATGCCCAGGAATGGAGTTCTGGGAACTCGAAGACCACGAAGTGGCCTACAGTTGGCTCCGGGCATCCAAAATGTGGCCCGGGAATGGAGTTCTGGGAAAGAAGAGCACGAAGTGGCCTACAGTTGGCTCCGGGCATTCAAAATGTGGCCCGGGAATGGAGTTCTGGGAAGTCGAAGAGCACGAAGTGGCCTACAGTTGGCTCCGGGCATTCAGAATGTGGCCCGGGAATGGAGTTCTGGGAAATCGAAAAGCACGAAGTGTGTGACTGTATGCGAAAAACGATCCCCCCCGGCAAACCCCAACGGCCCCCCAACCAAACCCCAACGGCCCCCCAACACCTCCCCAACGGCTGCCCAGACCCCCCTGTGGAGTAATGTGCTGCTTTCTTTTTACCCTATTAGAAACCTATCAGTCTTCGCTGTTAGGTAACAAGCCTCTGGTTCGAGATATCCTCAACAAATCCTCATGCTAGACATCTGTCTGGGCAACCTGGGGGCGTGAATCCAAGCGTCTCGCTCGAGACATCCTCAAGACCTGGGCACGTGAAAACAAGCATTTCACTTGAGAGATCCTCTGAATTCAGGTCCCCGCGAGAGGACACTCTATAACAAAAAACAAGCGTTTCGCTCGAGACGTCCTCAACAAAATCTGAAACACAAGCTTTTCGCTCGAGACATCCTCAACATTAATTTCGCCGGTCCTACGCGACCTCGTTATTCATCGCAAAATAATTTCGCCGGTCCTAAAGCCGTCAGAACTGAGGGCAAACACACCAAAAGAGAACCCTGGCCCTAAGCCCTTTCCGGGAAAAAGGACCATCACGGGCATTCGCGCCCAATGCCTTACCAATGACGACCGCCATGAGGCATCACACCCTCTGCAGCTTCCATCATAGGGACTCGATCCTAGCACCGACGACGGACGTGACGACGACGACGACCACCACGACTGTGACTACCAGTGCGAGTGGACGCAGCACCACGAGTGCGGAGGGTGCGTCCGAAGGACTTGTGTTGCCTCTCAAAAGGCTTCCCGGGGGGAGAGGGGCGAAAAGATCGACAGCGGTGTGACGCCGCGAGGTGGCGCCGGATGTGCTGTGACTCCCCGCCTGTGAACCGCCCGCTCCTTTTGATAGTGGGTTTTCCCGTGCCTGGGCTGGGACGGTGTTTTCAGTTTCTCTCACGACCCTTTTGAAGCAAAGCCCCACGATCATAGCACCGACGACGGACGTCGAGAACCACGACTTCGGCGACGACGACGACGACCACGACTGGGACTACAAGTACGAGTGGAGGTAGCTGCACGAGTGCGGGGGGCTACGTACATGGGACTTGTGCTACCTCTCAAAGACAAAGGGCTGCCCCGGGGGAATAGGAGCGAGGTGTTCGATGGGGGCGTGACGCCGCGAGGTGGCGCCAGGTGCTGCGTGACTCCCCGCCTGTGAACCGCCCACTCGTTTCGATAGTGGGTTCTCTCGTGCTTGGGTTTGGACGGTGGTTTTGGTTTCCCTCACTGCCCCACCAGTAAGGACCATCATAGGCCTTACCTTTAAGGCCCGCCATAAGACCTCACACCCTCCGCAGCTTCCATGATAAGGGCCGCGGGGGTCAAATCCCCACGACCCTGGCACGGTACGTGCAGTGCCGGGGGTGGCAGCCTTTTTTACCATCCCAGCATCACAGAGGGATGCGGTACGCACGCACGCACTCACGCACTCACGCACGCGCATGCACCTGCACCGGTCATGACCAGGCCAATCCCTGGGCCCGCGCAGTGGGCCTGGCCAGCGTCGGTGCAGGTGCCACGGCTGAGGCAGACGCTGACATGGATACAGACCCGTGGATCTGGAGCGTGGGCGCAGGGAAGCCAATGCCACCCGATATGGTGACGGTGAGGACGAGTGTTGCATGGAAGCGGGACCCGTCGATCATCCACGCGCCTTGCCCGGACCACTCACGTGGTAATCGCTTCACGACAGATCCCCCCCGGCGCCGTATTTGTGTCTTAGCGTCTGCCGATCCCCTCCAACGCTGCCCCTGGTCCCCAGACCCCCGACGTAATGATTTCCACACGAGGTGCAATCCCAGAGGCCTGGACGACTGCCCTTGGATTAAGTCGGGCGTGTCCCCCTACAGGGGGATTTTCGACGATAAATATAAAAATACTCAAAACATACTCCAAAATGGTCTAAAAAAAGAACTCGGAAAATAGTCACCAGACTATTTTTTGACTATTTTTGAATACTCCCCCTGTAGAGGGACAGGCCCGACCTACCCCTTGGACACGTTCATCCCGAGCCGTTTTCTAACAGACACGCGGTCTGGTGAGGGCACTGGGCGTGCCGGGCGTCCCCAAGGGGGCCTTCCCGTCCAGGCGGTCGTGCTCGGCCAGCGCCTCCAGCGCCTCTCGGTGGGCGCCGCAGAAGGGTGGCAGGGCTGAGCGAAGTATGCTAACGAATTTGACCACCTCTTCCTCCTCTTCCTCCCCTTCCTCCTCCTCCTCCTCCTGCTCCTCGTGTTCCTCATGCTCCTCCTCCTCCTCCTCCTCCTCCACGTCCACCTCCTCCTCCTCCCCCTCCTCCTCCTCCCCCTCCTGTTCCTCTTCTTCATATTATTCGGATTCTTATTATTATTATTATTATTATTATTATTATTATTATTATTATGATTATTATTATTAGTAGTAGTATTAGTATGATGATTATTACTATTATTATTAGTATTTTTATTATTGTTAGTATTATTAGTATTATTATTAGTACTACTCCAAGTCTTATTCTTATAATTACTATTATTATCAGTAGTCTTCTTACTATGATTGATCGTAATATTATTATTAATGAAAGAATTATTAGTATTAGTATTATTCGTATTGTTATTGTTATTATTATTAATACAATTATTATTATTGTTAATAGTATCAGTATTATCATTATTGCTAGTCTGAGTATTATTATTAGTAGTAGTAGTATTAGTGGTGTTGTTGTTATTGCCATTGTTATTGTTATTATTATGAGTATAATTATTAGTATTATTATTGTAATTAGTATCAGTAGTATTATTAGTAGTATTAATAGTAGTATTATTAGTGTTGTTGTTATTGCTATTGTTATTGTTATTATTAATAGTGGTGTTAGTATTATTAGTATTATTATTGTTATTAATATTATTAGTAGTAGTAGTAGTAGTAGTAGTAGTAGTATTAAGAGTATTATTATTAGTATGATCAATATGAAGGGGCCCTGGGACACACAAATAAATACACACAAATAAACAGATTCCCCATATTTTCTCATATTTTCTGGATGTTTGTCTTCCCGCCCACTTCCCATATGTTCCCATATTTTCCTGGGAATCGACGATTAATTGTGTCTGTGTGTTTTTTCCTCTCCTGACAATATTGTTATTACTATTCGTTTTATTATTACTATTATTCCTCCTCCTCCTCCTCCTCCTCCTCCTCCTCTCTCCTCCTCCTCCTCCTCCTCCTCCTCCTCCTCCTCCTCCTGCTCCTGCTCCTGCTCCTGCTCCTGCTCCTGCTCCTGCTCCTGCTCCTCCTCCTCATCCTCCTCCTCCTCCTCCTCCTCCTCCTCTCCTCCTGCCTCCCCTCCGCCTCCGCCTCCTCCTCCTCCTCCTCCTCCTCCTCCTCCTCCTCCTCCTCCTCCTCCTCCTCCCCCTTCTCCTCGATCCTGATCCATTACCCTCCGCCTCAATCCTCCTGCTCGTCCTCGACCCTATGAAGGACAATAATAGGGGGGACTGGCTCAGGGGGGAGACAACGACCTGAAATCGGCGATACATCGCCGATAGATCAGCGAAAGGCCGCCGATCCTGGGCGGGCGATTGGGGGTCGATGCCTCAGCCCCTGAGCCCATCCCTCCCTGACGTTGCCCCTGAGAGGAAGGACCCTGGGAGCAGCTTGAAGCTCTGTGCCAAGTCCTTTGCCTCCGAGGGGGCGGCTGGCGTGGTCACGACTGGAAGCAGCACAACGGAACTGACTAAGACGGGGCCACGAGGCGGGCCTTGGGGCGGCCTACTGAGATGGCGGGGGGGGGGTCATGGCAGGCGCCCAATGCTTTCGAGAAGCCTCTCGCAAAAGACAAAAGGCCCCGCGAGGGGCAGCACAGGGCCATGTGGATTAGAAGGCTGCTGTCTTCGCCCTGCTCCCAGCCAAGTCCCGCTGAAAGAGCCGCTCTCCCTAACCCCTCCTGGGGATGGGGAAGCCCGGATAAGCAACGGAGAGGCGTCTCAGGCCAAGGCGACCTTCGGCCACGAACGATTTCCTCGCCATGGATCTGACGACCATCCCGAAACCCAGAGCGCCTGCTGAACCAAACGCGGTCCATATCGCAGCGTCCCGCCTGTGTCTTCGCACACGTGGGTGTGGCTCGGGAAATGGAACCTGCACGGGCGACGGGGTGAGTGCGGAGCCCACGTGCGAAAGGGCAAGGGGCCAACGTGAGCGATCGCGGCGCGAGCTCCCCCACGGCGCCGCCCCCCCCATTCCTGTTCGCCGGAAACAATGCTGGGCCACCTCAGCCCCCCAGGTCGGTTCCAACAGTCGCGCACTCCACTCGCATTATATTTGGGGGGCCTGGATTCAAAGACCGACGGGTATCACCCTCGCCTCTGACGTTCCCTCGCGCCCCCACGCCTCGGTGGCCGTGCGGCAGTCGGTGTCCCTCGGGTTCCCGCTCCCGCCCGACCCCCGCAGGCTGCGACGCACGCCGTCGAGCAGCCGCGGCAGCGGGGCGCCCTCGCCGCTGTCGTCGCAAGCCGCGACGGCGGCATCGTGCGCAACCGGGGAAAACCCGAGCCCGGCGACCTGGAGGGGGAACGTTGTTGGTGATTGAGAAGAGGATGATGATGATGATGATGATGATGATGATGATGATGATGATGATGATGATGATGATGATGATGGTGTTCCTGCTGCTGGTGCTGATACTGACGTTTATTATGATGAGTATGTGATGATGATGATGATGATGATGATGATGATGATGATGATGATGATGTGATGGTGATGACGAGGTCTGCGGTGACGATCTTGATGGTGGGGCTGAGAAAGATGAAGGCGATGATGGTGATGGAGGTGAATATGAAGATGCAAATGGAGATGACTATGACTATGATTATGTTTTTTTTTTTTTAAAAAAAATGGGGATGCTTGACGATTTTGCGTCTATCATGGTGACGGTTTTGCGTTTGATGGCAAGGACTAACGTACATGGTGGTGACGATCGTGGCGATGATGATGATGATAATGATGATCATGTTGATGATGGTGGTGACTTTGATGGCGATGATGATGGTGATGATGATGGTGATGAGGATAGTGGTGGTGAGGGTGGCGCTTGATGCCCCCTGATGGCCAGAACTCTTTACAGCGCAACTGTTCGGAGACATGCCTGTTGTGAGCAAGCTCGAGTTTCGAATATAGGTGCCAGGACCGTACACGACGCCCCCATTCGGGAGTTGTTGACCGCAAGTAAGCACAAGGCGGTACGCGGGAGGGTGTGCTTGAATGGGTGCGGAGCAAGAACGGCCACGGAGCGGATCACACCGGCATGGTACAAACAACTGGGTAGATCTGATGTCCCCTGATAGCCAGAACTCTTTACAGCGCAGCTTTTCAAAGACATGTTTGTTGCGAACACGCTCGAAAATCGCTAATACTGAGCGGTGCCAAGACTGCACGCGACGACCCTGTCTTACCGCTACCTGGCACCTGGCCGCTTCATGTCAAGAACAACGTACTGCAAACACACCCAATGACCCTGGAACTTCCCACGGGCAAAATCACCGGGCGAACTGCGACGACAGGTGCAAATATGGAGTCGTGCGCAAGGGCTCGGTCGCGGCGCGCGCACAAGGGCCACCGTCGTCCGCCGGAAACCCGGATGAAAAACAGAGGGCCCAGAGGTCATGATGATTCGCTCGGGCCTGGCCGAACCTACGAGGTGGCACTGAAAAGCGCATCCCATCGCAAACATTCGTTAAAAGGTCAAACATGGCGGTTTGGGCAAGAGCGCCATCAACTGGAGGTGCGCGCGGCACGGACAGGCTACGCTCAGACACTTGCGGGCAAGGTGAGCCAAGGCTAATCTACATTCTTGCGCGACGAATCTGGACCATATAAGGACCACCCCACGGACGCATCGGGAAGAGATCCAGCCCGCGAGGCGGCGGAAAACGGCGGCATTAGCCAACGACGACCCATTTTTTCAAAACGCTGTGGCCACCGCTGGCGAAATCATTGGCACTGGTCACCTCCCTCGATCCGAACCCGACCTCGAGCTGCGCCTGCCCGGGCGCCCGGCGACAGATGCGGGCGAGCCCGCGAAGGGCCGCGCGAACACCAGGTCGGTCTCCCTCGCGAGGGTCGGCATCTGGGGGCGGACCCGCTCGCCGAGGACGCGGCCGATGTCTTCTCGACCGTCTCTGACCACGCCGCCGCGCGCCCGTCGATCTTCTCGAGCTCGGCGAAATATCGGACGCGCCTCGAATGCCTGGCCGTGCCCTGGGCGCTGGCGCGTCGGAGTCGCGCCCGCAGCTCCTCGAGGCCCACGGTCTCCGCCGCGGCGGCGCGGGGCCCGGCCGGGCGGCGAAGCCGGCGTCCAATCGCGCCGGGAGCGCCCAGCACCAGCGAGAGTCGACGACCGAACAGGCGGTTGAACGTCACGGCATTGCCAGAGGCGCGCGCGAGCAGGCCGAGCGGCGCGGATGCGCCACAGGAGCGCGCCTCCGCCGCTTCGCCAGGCCTCCGCTCGCAACAAGACCCCCTTGTCCTGGCGAGCGCCCTGCTCTGGGTCGGGCGCAGCAACGGGGCCCGTCGCGGAACGTCCCCGCGGCCTGGCCCCACCAGCGCGGAGGTCGCCGCGCGGGCGAGGTCGCACGGGAAGCGAACGTCGCCCCACGCCGCCGCCATCGCCCTGGCCCGCTCGAAGACACCTTCCAGCGCCGCGACGCCGATCATCGCCCACACGATGGGCTCGCCGACGGGCATCATCGGGGCGCCCCTCGAATGCACTCGAAAGCCTGAGAGAGCGGCGCTGGCCAGCGGCGCCCCCCCGTGCTCGGGCCTCAACACTCGCGGTAGTCTGCGCTGCGCCGAGGCCAGTAGCCGCGAGCCTGTCTCAGCAAGCTAGCCGCCCCAGAATAGCTTGTCCGAGCAGGCCGCCAGGAGTGCGTCGAGGCGACTGCTCTCCACGTCGCTCAGCGGTGGCAGCTGCGCCCACTCGAGGAATCCGACACGCGCCCGTCGAAGCTGCTGATGGCGGCCGCGCGCGCCCTGTGCCTCTGCGGGAAGGTCAGCACAAAGCGAAGCTCGGACTTGGTGACGCCGAACTTCTGCCGCCTTAGCTTGGATCGGTTGGCCCTCTGGCGCGCCAGCTCTGGCCGCCCCGCCGCCTTCGCTCGAACTGAACGAAGACCTCCAGCCGTCGCCTGCAATGGGGGGGGGGGCGGCGCGCTGACTGACGTCACGGCTGCCCGCGCTGGCGGGGGCGGAAGCGCTGGCAGCGGCCTCTTCTTCGGGACCGCAGAGGTCGCGACGCCGCCGCGCAAGGAGGCCGAGGGGGTGGCCATGCTTGTCTCGCCCGGCCATCTCGGCGGCAGACCCCCTCGAGAGACGGAGCCAAGCCGCGACAACATTGCGCGGGTCTGATGCGAAAGGTTCGGGGCCAGAGGCGACGGCGCGATGGCCCTTGTCGGAGTCGCCCCCTTCCGACGGCAGCCAATGGACGGCTACGGAGATATCGCGCACGACGCTGCAGCTGCACAAGCAACGACGCGTCTGGTCGATCAAAAGCGGGGCTCAACGACCCTATTCGACCCTCCAAACTAGGGACAGGCCGCCGTTCAACATCAGATGCAACTGGCCTCTCGCGCGCAGGGCGCACATTTTATGGAGGGCGCTGAGAGGCAACGCGCGGCCCTCCAGCCTCAGGATTTCCCCCTCGCGAGCCCATCGGCCAACGGCCACGTTCCGCCACGACCTCGCGGGGAAGATGACATCCGACGGCACCGCCGCGAAACGGCGGGCGTCTGCGCGGCCGCTCGTCGCGTCGCCGAGGGGAGCTGGACCAATGGCGGCCGTGGGCGGCGAGGAAGGCGCCGCCGGCGCCGACGTGCCGCGAGGCTTCTCGCGCGCCCGGGCGGCCTCCAGCACCGGCGCCGCGCCCAGCTCCCGCTTGGTCACGCCGTAGCCGCCGAACAGGCTCCCGAAGGGGCCCAGGTCGCCCGCGCTGGCGTCGGCGGAGTAGACACTGCCGCCGCTGGGCCGCTTCGCGTCGCAGTGAGCGAAGGGTGCCAAAGCTGCGGCTATGCGCAGCTCGCGGATCACCTCGGGCAAGAGTCGCCAGCGGCCGTCGCCCACTCGCTCGACGAATGGACGCGCAGACTGGAAGATATGTAGGTCGGCGCAACAGGGCAGCCCAGTGAAAATGCCCGACGAAATCTCGCTAGCTCGAGGGCCGGAGCGCAGCGCTGCGAAGCCTGACAGAGCAGCGCCTGGCGGATCTTCCACATCCGAGGACGTCCGAGCGAGATGCGCCCACGCTCGCGGTCGAAGATCAGCCCCGTGAACTTCTGCTCCTGGCCGGACAGCTCGAGCTCCTTGCACTTGAGGCCCGCGTCGCTGAGCGCGCCGTGCACTAACTCGAGCTGCGAGCGGAGCCGACGATCGCCGCGCAATCGGCGTGGGCGGCGGCGACGGACTCCGCGTCGAGGTCGGGCATCACCTTCCAATCGAACGCGAGTCTCGCGTCGCTGAGACCGACCGTCGCGAGCATACCCCAATTCCACCCCATGGGGGGCGCCATGAGACACGGGGAACACCCGCGTGAAACAACATGGTCGAGCACGCTCTGCGGCAGGACCCTCGCGAGAGCGGCCCGATCCTAAGTGGGCCGAACTAGTTGCTCACTGAAACCTGGAGGCGCAGGGAATCGGTAAAGTGCCGCCTCGGCCCCACACTGGCCGAGATGCAACTTCCTGGCTGGAGCCGCGCGAAGACTCCGCCAGCTCCCCGCAGTCGGCAACTCGGCGACGTCGAGATCGAAGAACATGCAAGTGACCCCGCGCGGGCCCAAGACCGCGCGCTGCTTGCCGCCCCTGCCCCGCTCGCCGACAGAGAACGGCGCTGGCGTGCGCTTGCACGCCAAGGTGAAATGGACCATGTCAGCTCGGCACAGGCCACGCACGAAGTGGGCGCACAAGTTCGGCGAACTCTTCTGCCTGAATCGGCGCGGAGGTGCACCGGCGCGCTTCTCATCACGAAGGCGCAATACATGCCGATCCCAGCACTGCCCTGAGTCGCGCACGGACTCCGAAAACAGGCGGGCTGGCTCGCGCCCAATGGAATCCGAATGCACCACGACGCCTCCTTCGGCGCGCACAACCGCTTTCGCCGGGGACTGATCGCACCCTGGAGCGCAGCCACGCTGCTCTGCATGAGCCGCCGCGGGACTGGTGTCGGGGGGGCGAAAGACTCGAAGCTGCCATGCATCGAGTCGATGCCGGCGACCTGGGCCGCCGAGAGAATGTCGAAGCAGTCGCCGCCCACCCGCCCGTCGAGCAAGTTCCGACAAAACCCCCGGAAATCCACAATCGACACTCAACTGCTGACGTCCCCGGCTCCGGCGTTTCGCGAATTTGAAAAGCACACAGCGTGGGTGCGCCGCTCGAAGTGCGCAGTCGCAAGGCCCAGAGGGATCGGAAGGACGCCGCGCTGGACCACCATGGAGCAGAAGAACTTGGGTGTCACCCCCTGTCACAGCTGGCACCTGCGCTTCGGCCACCCCCCATCGGGTTGCCCGTCGG